ACAGATCAAGCCCCAGTTTAAACAAAATAACACATCAGCTCCTGAAAAGCAATGCTGGGAGTCTTCAAAAAGCTGGTGACCCATCTCATCAAGCACTGAAGAGCAATGGTTAGGACAAATAAATGACAGAATAAATGGTTACTGATGGGGTTTTTGGTTTGAACTCCAGCATTTAACCACTATCACCATCAAACCAAGCACTGTGAGGAACATCAGGGCCCTTCCCTCAGTGCAGGTCAAAGTGTTCACTTCCAAGTTCCCTTTCCCACCTGGTAAAGATGTCCCACTGTGAGGGCAGCATCTTGTCAATAAGTATTGCTATTAAAAGCATCCCTCTGGGGCCTCTTTTACCCACAGATAAGGCAGCCAGGAGATGTTTTTCCCACATACTTTTAAAGCTGTGCAAAACAAACACCCAGCGCTGGATTTAAGCCTTAAACGAACATTCACTTACAGGGACACAGCAGAAGCTGAAACATCAAAGCCCAGGGACAGTTCTGTACCTAAAGCACATCGCTATGGTGTTAGATGGTCAAACCCAGCACAACTGTACTCAGACAAGACTGGAGGAGAGGTTCCCAATTACAGAGGTCATTGTTTGGGGCTGGACTTGGGGTAATTCCAAATGCTCTAAGACTAAGCACTGTTCATGGCATCTGTAGGAATTTTTAGGGATACACATGACTTGGAACTCCGTAAAGCAATTAAATGATTTATGCAGCAACAGTTTTGGGGCCATCCTCCATTTGAGCCTAACTGCAATTACTAAATACAATACAATACAGAAATGGCCTGATGCAGCGCAGGGGGAGGAAAACCACAAGCCCCAAAACACCCCCTCCCAAATCAATTCTGCAACCTGTGCTGTTCCTGGTATTTCAATTCCTATTGCACCTTTGCCTTGCTCTGTTTCTCTTCAGGCTGAACGTTTTCAGAGCAAGGATCAGATCTTTTTGCTCATCTGGAAAGCATCCATAGATTATCTCTGGACACGATCACACATTATTCCTTAAATTAAATCCCCAAGGAAGAGCTGCTTTCCCTCCTACTCCATGCAAGAAATCACAATATTTATACTTTACATTGTCCAGGTACAAGACTGGCAACAATTCATATTTAGAGAAATACGGCTTTTCCTGCAAGCAAAATGTCAAAGGTTCCCCTTCCCCTGTGGTGCCAACAGAAGGCTGGGATTCAAGTGTTACTAATACAGAAAAATTAAGTGCCTTGAAGCACTGAGATGGATCAATTCATAACTGGCTTTAATCTTAAAATGAACAAACAAAAACCCCTGTGACTCCTCTACTCGCCCAATGCCTGCAGGGAAGGAATTACCAGCGAGTGAAAGCGGCCAGCAAGGAAAAGCAGAAGCGAAGGCCAGCCAATGGAGAGTCAAAATTCTTCCTTGAAACACATTAATTGATGTTCTTTATAAAAACAGTGCCTCAAAATTGGGTACTTCAGTTGTATGAAGGAACAGGAAGAGATGGCACGATGCAGCCACCAGCTCCAAACGCTCTCTGCAGTGCTTGAGTGGAGGCAGCCACATGAAGCAGCGGTTCAGTGACTGGAGCTTCCTTTCCTTTCCACTCCTTGCCATTTGCCAACAATAGTGCAGATACCATCACTACCCACCCAGGAGCAGGTTAATTGTGTAGAAAGCACTTGGGTCCAAGTGCCAGGCAAATGAAGCCTGTAAATACCAGGACTTCACTACCACTTTAAAGGAACCAGAGTATTAAGGCAATATTCTACCAACAAGTGGAGGAGAAACAAGGACACAGGCCAGATTTTACGAAATGCCTTGTTTTAAACACATGCAGATCCACCAGAAACTGGTAAACATAATAAATTAATTCTAAGCCCACTGAACACAGGAAAACTTCTCCAACACTCAGTATTATTCTGATGAGAAACCCTTCCCCAGACTTCCATGTTATCAATAAGCCAACACATCCAGACAACACCTCAAAGCCAACAACTGGAGGAGTTTCTGATTTAAACCCATGAAGGGAGCTCTCCAGTCACTCCCTAGCACGGCAGCAGCCTGCACCAGCCACTGAGGAGTGACATTTTTCCCCCGGGAGGGCTGTTTAACACAGCTGCATAGTAGATTGCTCCTCACACGTGCCAAAGGGTTTGCTGCTGCTAGCAGCCTGGACTTTAGCACCTCATTTTCCTGCCTGTCAGCAGGGGTGACCCAAGTCAGCTCTTTCACAACGCTGCAAGGCCGGGCACATTTCTATTCATCGATTATTTTTGTCTCCAAATGGTGGCTCAGACAGTTACTGAATAGCAGAAAGCTTGGGAGCTACCTGGGGAGACACAACACCTCCCTTACCTGTAGCGAGCCTCCCGGGCTGGCAAGTTAATCACCAGCAGAACAGGCACTGAAGTGTCACCCTGAGCAGCAAAGTCACATCACCTCTATATTTCAGAGCACAGACACTATCATTCAAGATCAGACCACCAGTCCATCTTGGCCACCATCCTGCCTTGCAAAAGGCCAAAGCCTGATGCTGCAGAGCAGGGAGTACCCACTCCTATTAACCCACCTTTTGGACCCAAGACAATTCCCTAAGGCTGGAACTTGAGCTTTACCTGCCCTTACCTTTGCATGCAGGAACACATACTACTGGGGCAAAAAAAAAAGCTATGAAAAAACAAGTGTTTCCCTAACCACTGTGCCCAACTCCCCCACTTAGCACAGTCCTAGCTTCCAGTTATTTAGCTCCTGTGTGCTAGAAACATTACTTAACTACAAAGGCCACCACCTATAAACGTACATGTGTAAGTTTTTACAGCCATAATTAATTTCATATCAATTATTCCACAGGACACCCAGGATCCACAGACCAGGCTGCTCACTGGGAATCAAAGCACAACCAGTTACTTAAAGTACCCTGAGAATGAAAACATTTCAGAGCATTCAAACAATACCTGATGAAACCTCTTACTTTCGCTATAAAGACAATTCGAATCTCAAGTCCGCTCTGTGAGCACTTTCCAGTTCCCTCTGCCCGCCTCAGGTACATGCCCTGGGATTTCAAAGTTACCCCGATCCAACCCCGTGGCTCAGGTTACCCTGCAGCCCCGCAGCTCCAGGTGCAACCAAAGCCACAACCACCGGGACCTACCTCCCCTGCGGCTGACAGCACAGCCCGCTACGTAAACGCCCCACGGGTTCCTCCTTCCACGGGCTAAACCCAGCGCTCTCAGGGGTGAAGGGGGAAGCACCCGTAGGAAACGGACCCGGGGACCGCTCTTAGCGACCAGGCGAGAGGAAAGGGGCGTGCGCTGAGCGCGGCTCCCACCAGAGGGGGCGGCTCCTCCCAACTCCTCCCCTAAACGTGGTTTAACTCCGTGCACAGCCCCTGGGCCCAGACCCTGCCCGGGCCCGGCGCCGTGCCCGCGGGTCCCCTCCCCCTGCGGCGTGCTCCGCTTCCCCCCGCGCGGGGAGCGGGCCGCGGGGGCTGCGGCACCGGGGATGCGCTCTTCCCGTTACAAAACGCTGCGCGCAGCCTCTCCCCGGGCCTGCAGCGCACCGGCCCCTCGGCGAGGCGGCGAACCAGGCCGGGCCGCTCGGAGAGAGCGATCAGTGCACCGGGTGGCGGGGAACGTGTGACCGCAGGGAGGAACAGAGGGGACACGGGCCCGGGACTGCACCCGCGCGGCCTCCCTGCCCCTCACCCCGCCCCTCCGCGGCTCGCCCGGGCCTCAGGCTGCCCCTTCCCCAGGCACGGCCTGCGGCGAGGCCTGCGGCAGGGCGGGCGGGAGGGCCTGCAGCGCCGGGGGCCGGGCCCGGGCAGGGAGGGAGGGAGCAGGGAAGGAGGGAGGGAGGGAAGGAGGCAGCGCTGGCGCCGCGGGTGGGAGGAGAGGCGGGAGCGGGGCCTCCGCGCCCCGCCAAGGACTCACCTGACAGGCCTGGACATTTTCCCCGGCGGTTCGGGCCCGGCGCGGGCAGCGTCGCCCGGCGCGGAGGGGAAGGAGGATCGGAACGGAACGGTCGCTCGGTGCGGGCTCGGCGTCGCCCGTCCCCTCCCCGGAGCGAGCGGGAGCCCTGGGCCCAGCGCCTCGGGCCGCGCCTCCGGAGCCGCCTCTTCCCCCCCTCAGGCGCTGCCGCCGCCGGCCCGCGCCCCGCCGCCGCCGCAGACACCCGCTCCTCTGCGAGGGCCGCGCGGCCGCCCCGGGCCCGGTCGCCGCCGCTCCGCCGCCGCCGCGGTGGCCGCCGCGGTCGCCGCCGCCCCGCACGTTCGAGCCGCTGCGCGCGGCAGATTCGCCACGGGGCCCCGGCGCTGCCGCCCCGCTCCGGGCAGACCCGGCCTGGCTGTGCCCGCCCCGCTCCGCCTTGTCCCCGGGGCGCCGGCGGGGCCGCAGCCGCAGCTTCGCCGCGCGGGGCCTGGCGCGGTTTTGGAGGGAAACCGCGGGGAAGCGGGCGCCGGGGCCCGGCTGCCTGAGGCCGGGCCTGCCCCGGGGGGCCGCCGTGCCTAGCGCGGGTTAGGCAGGGCGGTTAGTGCCGAGGGGCGGCCCTTTGTCATGCAGGAGGGCCGCCATTGAGGGACGCGCTCCCGGAGCGCTGCCGCGGGGCATGCACGAACGGGGGAAGCAGGGAGCTGAGAGGAACGGGGTCACCGAGCGGGGCCCGGTGAATTCATGGAACGGTTTTGGTGGAAGGGGCCTCAAAGCTCCTCCAGCTCCAACCCCAACACCTTCCATAGAGCAGCTTGCTCCAAGCCCTGTGTCCAACCTGGCCTTGAACACTGCCAGGGATGGGGCAGCCACAGCTTCTCTGGGCACCCTGTGCCAGCGCCTCAGCACCCTCACAGGGAAGAGCTTCTGCCTAAGAGCTCATCTCAGTCTCCCCTCAGGCAGGTTAAAGCCATTCCCCTTGGCCTGTCCCTGCAGGCCCCTATCAAGTCAAGTCGTGTGGTGGAATCTGCAATAAATCTACAGATTTCTTTATTTTATAGCACATCACTCCCCTGTTTCGTGGATCCGCTGGGCAATCCTTTTCTTCTGAGGAAACACAGACCATCGGCTTCACCAGGCAGTGACTTCATTCCCAGCACCAATTTCATCACTTTTCCCCACAGACACAAAGACCGTGATGACTTCTCCCAGGTCCAGCAAAGGTTTCGTGTTCTTTAAATTCCCTGAACCCCCAAATTACTCCTTTTGTTTAGAACAGGAGCTGCACTGGCCGTGGAAAAATAGAACTTATTCCACAGTCCATGAAAATGGCAGCTTCTGCCATTGCAAGTTAGCTTTGCTTTGCCTTTAGAGAGGCTCACTCATCTGCTTCATTAAAAACTACCTAAACCCATGTTTTTAAGATACCAGATTACCTGACAGTACAACTATGGCCAGCTTTTTACCTCATTATAGGAGTAACTGGGGTTCATTTAATGCCCTGCTTGAGCTTAACTTGCCTCCATTGGAATTGCTGCCATTTTCCTGTTCACTTCAGATGCACTCTGTCCTTGGTGCAGTCAATGTTAGGGACAAAGCGACCAGGAAAGAAAGGGGAGCACTCAGAGCAACTGCCTGCAGAGCCAGCCCCAAACCACGCTGAGCCCTAAGCAAGGTGCATTACCAACAACCACATCAAGGACTCCTCTTCCTCTTCCTCAGCGCGGGCTCCATTGGATTAAGAGCCACGAGGCCCGAGTCAGGGATGAGTTCTGCAAGCTGACGTCCTGCCTGCAGGTCAGTAAGAACGGGGGACCAGAGAAAGGGATTTCAGTGGCAAGGATCTGCTTTGCTTTGCTGGCAACACGGAGCCATTCACGCGTTGTGTTTTGTACATACCCTGGTTCTAGGCTGAACTTGTGAACCCAATTGTCTGGACTGCGGAGACAGGAAAGCACCACCACCACCACCACCGTAAGCAACATCAAGCTTTTATTTCAGCCCCCTGCAACGCTGCATCAGTGACTGAGATGGAGAAAACCTCTTTATAATCAACATGGTAATATGCAACATTACAGTAATCAGAACCCTGTCTCTACAATACTTCTGTGGAACAGCAAGTGGTTTAAGCAAACAAAACAAGGCGAAGTTTTACTATTATTGGCTTATTTCTGAACTGCAGTCTGCCCTCACGCTTTCCCATTCAATTACAGTAAAAATTCCCAGCTCTGTGGCCCCCCAGGGTGCTGTCATCAATGTATAAAATACACCCTTACACTTCATGTGGTTTGGAGTCCCACGACCACAAATGAAAGTTACAGGCATGAGAAACACCACGTGGAAGAGAAGGAAATAGGTGCAGTTGGCTCAGAGTCACCCAGCGAGTATGAAGTCAAAGCAGGCACAGCAGAAGGGGAGCCCGAGTGCATTCCCATTCCTGCTGCAGTGAGCACATTGATCAGAATCGAGCTGAGGCTTTTCTGCTTCATATTTGAAAGCATCAAGTTTTTCTCCATCTGCACGAGCGAGGCTCCCCTTGGGTTAAAATCCTTCTAGAAATGGCTTTGCTCCAAGGTGGTTTTTCCCTTTGAGGTGTTTGAAAAGCCAGAATTATCTCCACTAGGACAAGCTGGGCACAACCCATCTCACAGTGTTCTCCCCACTCGGCCTGCCCCAGCAAGGAGCGCTTCTGAACCCCTCTGTTTCACAGCACTGAGTCAAAGCGGGGTTGGGTTGGGTTGCCTTTTTAAGCGCCTTATGAGCTCTGAGAACACACACGTGCACAGTCAGATCCTTTTCCTGTCTGGTTGGGTTATGCCCATCTCAAGCAACGGCTCTTTCCGTTGTGCACACTTGTTCTCTGACACTTGGCTGCTGTGTCTGTTGAGATGTGAACAAGCAGCAACCAGTGTGGGAGAAAACCAAGGCCAAGGCACACACTGGTACCCACCGGGCTGAGCAGAAATCATGTATCATAGAGGAAAACCTTCAAAGAGCTTTCTTTGGCTTTCTGCTTGCTTTTGAGAGGCACTTAGAAAGAAGAAATCCAGGTGAGAAGGTCCAGACCCCAAAGAGGCGCTGGCACATCCCACACCAACATGCCAAAGGTATAAAGGCACTTTCCTACAGGACACAGGGCTGAGCAGCTGGATCATGGAGACAGGAATTAGGAACCTTCAGTGCCAAGCTGACCTCAGGGACTGGGTCCTGGGCAGATTCCCACTGTGGGCCTCAGTTTCCCCACTCTAAGGGCAGCTCTAACACTTGGTCTTTTTGCTGAAACACTTTAGAGGTGCATAGAGAGAAAGCAATAAATAAAACATGAAGCTTAAATGGTTTCATGAGAAATCCTTTAAAAAAACAGACCCCTCTCCCCATGTTCCATAAAGAACTAGAAATATAGCATTAAAAAAAACAACTTTTTTCTTTTTAACACAATATTTAGGAAGTAAAATTCAAAGAGCTCCATTTGGTCACTAACCACTTCTACACGTTTCACATGTTTCTACAACAGCACAGGCAAGGGTATGTTCAAGTGCCTATAACCCCAAATTTGGCACCATGTGCATGACAGAACCCTAGCACTGACATGAACATGGTGGAACACAGCAGCAGTTCTCCATTTCTCAGCCCTTACTCTTTCCTAATCAATCCTTTTCAACTCCAGAGTGTGAAACCCCACATTTCAATGTGCTCAGTGAAGGTAACCAACCTTCTTACCACCTTCTCCCTCCACAGATGATAGAAAGCAAAGAGAGACAGGAGGAAGACTTTGCCAGAGAAACACAGCTCTCCCTTAGCAGGGATCAGGACAAGCCAATTTAACGTGGTAACTATCTAGTGAGCTTTTACCCACTTATTCTTGTTGTTGGCAAGAACCACTCTCACCAGCGAGTACCTGGGGATGTGCTCTTCATTTCTTTCCTGTCCTGCAAAGTCTTCTCCTTTGCTCCCCCCTTGCACCACTAAACCCAGCGGGAGGGCTTTCAGGGAGCTCCCTGTCCCACATCAGCCCTGCCACCAAAGTCACTCCTGGCTACAGAACAGCTGTGGGGAAGCAATTCCTCAGCAGTTGCAAAGCTATTTGAGATGGCAGGCTACAGGGAAAGGGATGTTGTTGTCTCAAAGGAGTATCATTCCACTATCCATGCCCTAATAAAGTGGCAGCAGAGTGATTGTGCTAGACAGAGGCTGAGTGAGAAAGGACAAACAGAGGCACCTGGGTGATTCCTGATGAAAGCCTGAGGTCTCTGCTGTAAAGCACCAGAGTTGGGATGTACAAAAGTAAGGGCTGTGCTACCCAGTTTCTCAAATCACACCAGTGATTCCACGGGTCTGGCTGCACAGCACACCAGCTCATCCACATCTGGCTTCCCATCCTAAGGGCACTTACTGGCAATGAAGAGCTGTGTTGGTCCCTCCAGGACATGTAAGCAGAGGTCTGCAGTTCCAAAGCACAAAGTAAAGAGTTTGCTGCAATCCCACACTGGGAATCCAGAGGCATAGAGAGTGTGCATGGAATGAAGGTCACAACACCTGGGACTGGTGCCCTTGGGTATGGTGGGTGCAGGCAGTGGGGAATAAAAGGTGCAACAGCATTAAAAAATATACCTTTACCTTCCTTCACCCTGCTCGAGGCCAGCACGTGGCAGGGGAAGAAGTGCTCCAAATCAGTTAAAATCAATCCAAGGCTCATGCTTGAACACGGACCGTGCTCCTTTATGAGCAGCAGAGCTCCCAGCTGCTACTACACAAGAGCAAGGGGAATCGTCTCGCTCCTCCCTTCTTCCCTTGCTCCAAGTCATTGCAGTGATGCTCTGCTGAGGAGGAGTTTGCATTGAACACAAGGCAGCTCGTGAGCATGGAACAGAAATACCCCCAAAACCACTGACATCCAGGTTAGGAAAATACGATGGTGACAACAAGAGGAGGAGGTTGCTGCTAGAGCCAAGCAGATGGCCCCGTCAGTGCTCTAACAGCAAGCCCAGCCTGGCGGGGTTGGCTCTTTTATGTTAATATAATCCCCGCTGCCAGCAGCAGAGGAACTTCCATCACCAGCGGATGAGGACATCATCTTTTCAATGAGGACTCTAGAAGGCAAACACACGTGAGTTTGGTTTGGGTTGGTTTAACAGGAGGCACGGGGCCAGCACTACAGCAAAAATCAACAGCAGTCCATTCCGACAGGACGCAGAACTCCAGACCTTCACTAAACAAGCAGGTTAAGGAACCCGAGAGCACTGACAACAGCGCTACTGCCATTACCTGCCAGCATCAAAGACCATGTGATGAGCAGGTAACACAGCAGCCACCTCACCTTGGGTCCAGGTTAGGACTGGGACACAGCAAGAGGCTCCCTATGTACTAACTGCCCACCCTCAAGGTGCAAAACCTCAGTCTAACACCTTTCAGACAAGGCCAGATCCTCCACTGAAGGACTGGTGCATCACCAAAGAGTTTCTAACACCTTTGCACAACAAGTCCCATCCTCCTGGTAGAGGCCAGCATATGAAGAAACATCCCTGGTATTGTTCAAATGATTTTCTGTCACCAAAAGCACATCAGAGCTTAACCAAGGAGAAAGCAAGCCTCTGACCTTTCAGAATTCAGGTTCCCTTGGGAGATTTACTTGTGTTTTATTGCTGCTGTTTGTTACCTGCTGACAGCATCTCCCTCACCTCAAAGGCAGCCGTGTCTGAGAGAGGGAATCAGCTCTTTGGTGGATCGCCAGCCACTGTGCCTACCTCATGGACTCATTGATGTTCTTGTTCTCCTTCACAGACGTCTCCACCCAGCCAGAAAAGCCATTTTCCTTGCTGAACCGATCCACTTCTTCTCTTGTCACTGCCCATGGGGAGAGGTCGCACTGGAAAACAAGAACCATTTGAAGGTCAGCTTTTTGGTTCTTCATCTGGGAGGGGAGTTGTGCCCCTCAGCAAACACTGCCCATGTGCAGGCAGGCAGCAGGCTCAGCCCGTCACAGCTCCCAGATCACAACCGATAGAGAGCTCTTAGGGCAAGGGTCTTGATGGGATGTTGCAAGCACCCATCTATTTATCTCCTCAGAGATGCTGACACGCCTCAGTCAAGCACGCACGGAATGGAGGTACGGGGAATCTCTGTCACTCATCCAAAATCTGCCTGGCCTCTGGGTAGCAAGGAAACGCGTTAGCTGTAAAGGTAACCTGTGTGACGTGTGTGCTGGGAAGGGGCAGGGCGAAAACCTGCTCCAGTGGAAGGTGTCCCTGCCCATGGCAGGGAGGTGGAACTGAAGGAGCTTTGAGGTCCCTTCCAACCCAGGCCAGTCTGGGATTCAATACAGATGATAACAGCTTGTATTAGGTGAGTGCAGCGTGTCAGCCACACAGGTTTCCTTAACGCAGCTAACTGGTAACCTCAGAACAGCCATCAGGGAATGGTGTCTTTGTGAAGGAGAGAAGAGAAGCCACTCTCCTGCCCACCCATCACGTCTGTGAGTCAGCTCCAGCTTTAGGCTCTCTCAAAGCAAGCAAATCTCAGGCTGCATCTGGGAAGCTGCTGAGCCAGCGCAGGCATGGGAAGAGCATAAAGGTAGGCTTGAAATGAAAGGAAAACAGACGATGGAAAGACAGCAGCTAATCCTCACGGGGAAACCTGATCCCCACGAAGCCAGGCATCCCTCGGGCTGCTCTGAGCAGCACCCACAGCACCACACACAACCCGCCCAGGCCACTGCAAGTGGAAGAGCACAACACAAAAGCTTCCTAATCCAGGAGCTGCAGAGCTCGAGCTCCAGCAGCACAAGCACTGCCTCCTGGGAGAGAGCAGCTGATAACATCTTGGTGCCTCTCACACCAAGTCCTACCACTGCCCGAGGAGAACCCTCAGAGAGGCAGAACATGCAGGAAGGGATTAAAGAGACCGCAAGCTATGGGGCAGCTCTGGGCAGAGCTCATTGCTAAAGGGGTCTCCTTCCCTTCTGCACCCCTGTTGCACAGCCGAGCCCACAGAGCACACGCAGAGCTGCTCACTTTGTTAGCCAGCAGCAGGCAGGGCACGGGGCTCCCATCGGGCAGCAGGAGCTTGCTGTCCAAATCCTGCTTCCACTTCTGGCTGCTGCTGAACGTGCTGATGTTGGTGACGTCGAACATGATCACGCAGGCGGAGGCCTCCCTGTAGTAGAGCCGGGTCATGGACGTGAAGCGTTCCTGCCCTTGGGATGGAAAGGGAACAGAAGTGACCCCCCCGAGGCATCATTTCCAGGTTTGTTCATGCAAGGAACACGTTTATCCCAGAACGTCGCGTTCTCAGCTGGCACTAAACCTACACTTAAATAATGGGGAGATATTATGGGGGCACTGAGAGCGCTCGTGTCACACTTCATGGGTCAGGAGCATGGTGAGAAACAGCATTTCTGACAGCAGCATCCCACACTGGGTTGGGCTGGACCTTAAAGCTCCTCCAGCTCCAACCCCTGCCACGGGCAGGGACCCCTTCCACTGGAGCAGCTTGCTCCAAGCCCCTGTGTCCAACCTGGCCTTGAGCACTGCCAGGGATGGGGCAGCCACAGCTTCTCTGGGCACCCTGTGCCAGCGCCTCAGCACCCTCACAGGGAAGAGCTTCTGCCTAAGAGCTCAGCTCAGTCTCCCCTCGGGCAGGTTAAAGCCATTCCCCTTGGCCTGTCCCTACATCCCTTGTCCCAAGCCCCTCTCCAGGTTTCCTGCAGCCCCTTCAGGCACTGGAGCTGCTCTCAGGTCTCCCCTTCAGGAGCCTTCTCTTCTCCAGGCTGCCCCAGCCCAGCTCTCTCAGCCTGGCTCCAGGGCAGAGCTGCCCCAGCCCTCGCAGCAGAGCCGGACAATCCCCTCCCTTGACCTCTTCTCCCTCAGCCTCGTGCTCTCCCTGGGGCTCCCATCCAGCCCTGTCTCTGCTCTGCACTTTGAGTCCCCTCGAGCCACCCAAGTGCCTCGGCACAGCTCAGGGGAGGGGAGCAGTGTGCAGGGACCATGGCCGTGGCCATCCCCTGCTGCTCAGGGCACCCCAAGAGCTCTGTGCCCCCCAGCTGCTCATGTTTTCAAATGCCTTTTTGGGGCTGAAGCTGCACCCAGCTCCTTGCTGCAAACTTCTCCTTCCTCCTTGCTTTTTTAGGGACTCCAGAAGCACGCGGCCGGGCGGAGGAAACCGCAGCCCTGTGTTCCTCCCCCTCCACATCCAGAGCTGCTGCTTCAGAGTGGGTGCTCCTCGCTCTGCTTCACCGCATCCAGTGCTGCCTCCTGGAGCACCCCCTGCTCCCGACCCAGCCCCACGCCTCCCCTTGCCCTGGGTGCTCCCAAGGGATCCGCTGGCTCTGCCTGCAC